GCACAAGCAACAGCTAAAAGACAAATAAACTTTTGACTCGTTGATAAATTGGCAACAAAAACGCAGCAGGGGGGAGGGAGGCTGCGGCTGTGGCTTTGGTTGCCACAGAGAAATCCCAAGACGTTGAAAGATAAAGGCGGCCGCCCATATAATCGTATGCACAAGATGTTGTTCAAATGCGGGTATCTGTATCTTAAAGATACACATGTACCGGGCAGCAGGCAACAGTCACCTTATCAGCCAGCTTAGCCATGTGTTTTGCAATTTCTTATCTTTACAGCACGCTTTAGACAACCCATTGGCCAGGAAATAGATATCAAGCAGAGAAATCCCCAGCAGAAGCGCTACAAATTATAATTAAAATGTTTTTTTTTTTTTTAAGGCAGCGTTTCCATTTACATAACCCGCAAAGAAAGTCGTCAATTTCAGGGGAAATAAAAGTGAAATTACGAGAGTAAATGCTCTAGCAATAGCAGCAGAGTCAGAGACAAAACGCTGAGAGGCACATATTTTTATAATTTATCTTTTGGATGAGTCATTTGGGAAACTTTGATAGTTTGTTTTAGTGCTCGCGGAGGTTGTGTAAGTCAGCCTCTAAGAAAAACCAAAGTGTAAAGCGAAACCTTTTCTGAAATAGATACACACAACTGCAGTGCTCTCGGGAACAGGGGAGTGAAAAATATGTAGCTACTTGCTGGATTAACTTGAGCTTTCTTTTCATATATTATGATAGCTTTAAGCATATTTTCATAGTTCATTTAAAATCTGAAATATTTCTTGGATATGTGGGATTGTCAGACCTTAGTGATGTGGTTAAGAAAATGAGTAAACCATTTGGGAAGGGATTGGGTTTTGCGGTACCGAGAATGCAACAGCCAATGTCTCTTGATTGGCCAGAGACATAGAATGGTTTGATGATTATTTTAAAAATAAATACAAATAATAGTCCTAGGTTCCCGAAATGACACAAATGTTACCCTGAACAAAAAGGGAAAACTATTTACAAATGAATGTGCATACAAATGTATTCCATTTCCTTTTTATTGGTATCTAAATATTTTGTATTTATAGTCCACTCTTTCTGTCTTTATGTTCTTCATTCCCCAAAGCAACTCTTTAGCCAACCCTTTGGCCGCCTAAAACTGTGAATATTCATTTGTTTATTTTTATTTAAACATACATTGAAACATATCTATTTTATGATAAATAATGTCTTTGCCTTGTTATCCATGTGTAGTATTTGTCTCGCTGAATGTTTGGCATTCTGCCCACCCAAAACGACAACAAGTTGTTGGGGGGCAGCTGCCACTACAAGCAAAACGTATAGAAATATATGGAAAATGTTATAGTGTAGATTTAATAGCCGACAAGTGCTTAATTTGTTTGTTTTGGGCTTTTCGATTGATTAATAAATAAATAAATAACTCAATGCGATGCGAAAGCTTTGCCTTGACCCAAAATTCCAGTGCACTCAATGGATGGGCGATATAAATATTACTCAATTTAATGTTTATTGCATTTCTTGTGGAATTATTCGAGGCTGGAATTGGTTGTAGCGATGCGGGGGCTGCCCCAACCTCAATTTTGTTTAATTCCCAACGGAAGGGAGATTAAATTCTCAAGACTGCAGTTTGTTCTTATTGCACTTGGAAAGTACGTATAAATTATGACGCTCTGCTAAAACTTTCTGCAAATCCGGTTAACTGCCTTTTCCACAACTAGGAAACAAAACTAAAACATTATAATGAATGGATGGCTGCAAATGAGGCTCCTCTGTAAGGGTTCTCCGGCCAGGCATCAGGTGAAAGCTGGAGTGCGCTTTCTGCTATTCTTTTGCTAAGATTTATGGCCCGGCGAATGGTTAAACGCTTACACCCCAATTCAGACAGCCCAGCTCCAATGGCCTGGCCCAAAATGTTTGTCGTCGTTGTCCATTTATTATTTATGTTGTTTCGACGGGGGGAGGGACAGCACTGACAGCAGCAGACAGCACCAGCGGATACCCCACACCACACTCGTGTGTCCATTCATAGAATGTTCCGTAGCCAACCGCCAACCTCAAACAAACAAAGAAAACACAACAACGCACACACAATGGAAACGTTTATAACTTAAAGCCAGACTCGTGAAGATCTTCGTTGAGGTAGTTCTGAATTATGTATGGCCAAAGGTAATTGCTAAATTCAATTATGTGCACTGAAGAAAAGTGTGGCGAAAAATCATAAGGTAGGACCATGAAATGCTGCGGCTTGCTGTCTTTTGGCTACAGTCATTGCACATTTCCGTCCCAATATAATGGATTTGATTGAAACCAATTTACTGAAGAATATATTTACATTTTTGTACAATGAAAGATATGTATGCTTCCTGCAGTTCAATTTCTCTGCAAAGCTAACAATAAAACCTGATGTTCGATCCATCTGGTACTAAAAATATCTTCAATATATTGTTTTTATTACAAATTTATTAAATCACCATAATGAAAAATTATGATAAATTCCCCCATAATTTGAAGCTCTCTCTCTATCTTTTCTGCCGTGTAGATGATATCTTGTGGATATCAAATTTATGGCCCTGCATTTATCCACTTTTTGCAGCAGAAAGAAGCGCATGCAGGGCTTTCGGCCGGATCTCGTGCTAAGCTCATATCTAAAGTCTTTTTAGTCACCCCACTAGACAAGGTAATTTATTCGTAATGGAGCTCAGGCTACAGCTCCTCCCCCAGCTCCAGCTCAAGCTCTGGCTTAAATATGACACGTGGACTGGGGGTCCCAGTCCCTGGCATGGCCATGTTGCAAGTGCAGCAGTGCTCGTATCCATGGATGGTCGAGCCATAAACAGTGCCTGATTAATGTGCCATGTTGTGCAAAATGGGAAAGGTGTGAAAAAACAGAGTTGTCCAATGGGCAATGGGCAACGGGCAACATTTCCAAGAATCGTTGGTTGGCTTTTCCTATTGATTTTCCTTGGGTTATCACAATACAGCACAAGCACAACAGTTGTGCGGAATGGAATGCTTTTTGCATTGGGAATTCCCAGTAAATGTTTATGCAGCCCGTTGGCCAGGCGTGCACTTCCTGGACCCCATACCCCATGCCAACTTTATGACTTGATATGACTCCTGCCATTCTCAATTTTCCACTCACATTTGACCATTTTCCAGGCAGTGATTGACGGAGCAGCAGCAGCTACAATTAGCAGCCTGCCTGCCAGCCGTTTGAAGTCCAACCCAACCCATACAATACGATAAATGGAGCAACTGATCTCGAGTGCCTGCAGATTGGACTGCAGCAGAATGAATGGCTGGCTGGCTGGCTGGCGGTAGGAGGTCTGTTCTGCATTCAATAAACAAATTGGGTCCCAGCCAAGCAATTGCAGCGGTGACCCAAATTGGGAGGCAAAAGAGTTATGTGCCTTTGATTCGATCAGATCAGAACTTTTTGTAGGGAGAGAGAGACACACAAACAAATGGAGATGGAGATCGCGATGGAGATGGAGATGGAGCTGGGGTGAGAGAGAGGCAATCCTGAGTCACGTTTTGTAATGGAAATTAATTTGCTCGCTGCTCGATTCTTGCTGCCAGCATTTCTTTTTTTTTGTATTTTATTTTCGTTTTGTTTTGTATTGTTTATCATACCACATTTTGTTGGTCAAGAAACTGAAGAAGAACCGGTTTAAGAAAGTTGTTTCAAGCGAAACATGAAAGGAGAAGGAGAAAGAGAGCGGACTTTTGATGAGCGAAGCCTTTGATACACTTGCGGGGGGACATCTAATGGTATTTTTGTGGGAGCTAATACTACTACTACTACTGGTGCACTAAATGCACCAAGAAAGCTCACAATTTCTAAGAAAGATCTTTGCAAAGTTGCAGCCTGATAAAATGCAGATTTAGGGACTAATTAGCAGGGAAACGGATGATCATGGAAGCATACCCCTCTCCAAAAGGGTATAGCAAGTGGTTGTTGGCCTGCAGAAAACAAAAGAAATGTGAACTTTTTCGGGTTGCAAAAAACTCCAACCCAGGAAACACACACACACACACACATTTGAGAGTTGCGTTACGGAAGATGCTAGAAGTTATCCAAATATCCGGCCTGACTGATGATTAATAGTGTAATAAATTGTTGGAGATCTTCACATATTCACAAGCTTACGCAGTCTACAGTTAACCACGGCAACAGCAGCAGCAGCAGCAAAAACAACAACAGCTACGAGTATTCACCGGTAGTCACGGCCAGGCGATGAATCACAATCGAAGAGCCGTGGCCAGAGAGGTATATGAATAGAGTTCGGATACCTGGGGTGGGGGGGCTGTTTTGAGGGCTGAGGTGACCGTGTTTGCTCTCTCAACAGAAACGGCATGCCTTTGACGTATTCCAAGCACACAGCAACAACTCTACTCCACCACTTATCAATGGAATACTGGGTGTTGATAATACACACGAACACACCCAAAAAGGTCACTGATAATGCACACACACACACGAACAACAATAGCCATAAACTGATTTAAACAACGTTTTCTTTGATAGTTTTGACTGCATTGAGCAACTGAAACCAAAAAACAGGCTCACACACAGATGCAACACAGTTACTCTCCAGCTGCTGAGATACCATTTTCGATTGAACACAGCATTCTCGAATTTCCGATTTCAATATCACAGAACATTTGCTGCGCTCTCTGTGGCTTTGTCACTCACCCACCACACACACACACACACACCTGTAGATATATTGATACTTTTTTTTTGTATTTGAATTTGTATTTGTCTTTGCTTTAGGTATAGGTGTGCTGTTCGCTCCAACGTTCTCACTCTGTCGCACTCGTATTGATATTGAACTTTATTTTTTTATTATTTTACTTTTGAAAGGCGGCTCATTTATTTAGCACCTTTTGATGCATCACTTGTTTTTCTCCGCCGCCAAACCGAAAACCGAAACTCCAGGGCACCACACCACATTTTCTAGCTTAAACTTGCTTATTTCATATTACCGCTTACGTTTTCAACTTTTTTTTTTGTTAAATAAAACCTTCTTGCGTGGGGGAAGAGTTTCAATAACAAATAATAATAAAACAAACTGCGTCGTCGACAAGTTTGAACAGTCTGTTCTGGCTCAGATCACCATATAAATATCGTACGTAAAAGCTGAGAGCGCGCACGTTAATACCCCGTTCGACGTTCAAGTTGACTGCGGCGCGAGTATATGGATTCGTATATTGATAAATCGGATAATAATTTATATATATTTTTATGATAATTTAATTAACTTTATTTTAGTTTATATAATGAACTATTTAATAAAACCGAACTATTCGAAATTCAGTTCGATTCAATCCAAAAGCACGCGCGAAAATTTGAAGAGTGAATGAATGAATGAATAAATGAATCTGAATCTTCCAAGCCCAGGGAACATGCCAAATTTCCCCTTGTCAAATGTTAAGGGAAATTTCCTCTTGTTGCTAAACCCAGCGCTGGGACATGCTCTCCTCCTCAAGAAAGAGAGTGTGCGCTCAATACTGCGTTACTATTGTGAATTTGCTATTTGTTGGTATCATATTAACAGCTAATAAGGAGTCTTGGCACTAAAACTTTAATTTTATCCGATTTATCAATCAATTCTCCTCAAGAGTGGACAGTTTTCATGACTTTCTTTCATTGGATGGTTCACAAAATCGAATACAAATTTCGAATAGACTGCATTTAATGTGGCTGCCACATGTGGTAGAAAACATAAAGGTAAAAAGGCAGAGGCTGCCACATCGTTGGAAATTGTTGAAAGCTATATTAACGGACTTATTGTGAAATCAAGAAATCCGTTTATGTTTCATTTAAAATTTAATTTTTGGATAGGGAATATTGGTTTCCTCTAAAAATCACGTTGGAAAAGCAGTAAACTGAATATATCATGCTGTGCTAACACTTCAGACCGGCACTGTGGCGTTGCATAGCGTACAGCTTAGGAGAGATGCCACAAGGTGTGGTGGGTTATAAATTTGAACTTAAACTTGAACTCTTTGAATAAGTTTTTGGCGGTTGCATGGCATGAAAAAACTTAATTGGCCTTCCAAAATTGGGAAGCACAAATCATTTGTAATCCGTAACTATCCGCAAACCAATCAAGTTGCATACAAATCGGTTAAGTGTAGGGTCTGTGGCTCCATCAATTAAACAGATGAACTTCATGATGACTCGTTGTGTTTATATTTTGAAATCGTTTGGGTGCAAACACATTTGAGCTATCGAGATATCCATCTACATGCTAGACCAGGGTTCTGTTCTGCCATGCCGTGTGGCAATTAAAAATGGCCGAGGGCCCATAATAGCGCCTGGAATTTGGAGCAGTCTAATTTGTATGGACTGACAGTCGGGCCGATCAGTGGGTGGGCAGCAATCAATTGAGCCGAACGATCAGCGATCGCTGGAGCCAAGCACCGCTTAATGTGCAAATAATTGGACATCTGCATATAAATAGCCGTACGGCCATCCTGTGTTGCCCCAAAATCGTTGGACACTCTCACAAATCCAGAATGCTGCGTAAGTTCTTCCTCCCCCTGCTGCTGCTCTGCTGCGTGGCCTTTGAGGCGGCCCTGGCCTGTGTAAGTAGCTGCTCCACTTGGGGAAGAACAAAGACAAACTCCCTTTGGTTTCCTTTGCAGAATGGCTACAAGGCCAAGCTGGTCAAGATGGAGAACTGCGCCGGCGATGATGCTGTGATGACGTTCGGCAGCGACTTTAGCCTCAAGCTGAACAAAAAGTGCGAGCTGGTGCCCTCGGGCTGCATCATAAACAAGCCCTTTGGCACGGCCTTGGCCAAGTTTAAGGTGCAGAAGGATGGCATTGTGATGAAGGAGGGCAAGGTGGATCTGTGTGCCGCCATCGATCAGGCCACCACAGAGGCCAAGGATCTGCTGAAGCTTTTCGGTGCCCCATCCGCCTGCCCCGTGGCCGAGGAGAAGGTCTGCGCCAATGAGCACACAGTGGATCTGTCCAAGTACAAGGCCATGCTGGGCATGGCACGTGGCCACCTGATCATCGATTCAGAGATCAAGCACGATACAGTGAGTAACCCAAGGAAGTTCTGGCAGCTGGTCCTGTGCTCATTGTATTTGTTTTTTGTTTCCTTCCAGGGCAAATCCTGCTTCCACGCCGAGATCGAACTTACCAAAAACTAAAGTGTGACCCAAACATTAACCCCTTGCTTATGATATGAGTCTTGCAAATTGTTAAGTTCGAATTACAAATGCAATAAAATTGGTAATGAGGAGCACCCCAAACAGCACAGTCGATTGCTTGGATTTATGCCGCACAAAAGTATTTAATTATATTTTTCCTGCCCATCCTGGAAGAGATTTTGCTGTGCCAATGATTCAAATATTTGTATGCAGCTTAAAGCTATTTCCACGTCTCTCTGGCCTGTCTGCAATGTCTCTTTGTCATCAGGAGACTACAAATTAAAATAATCTGAAGAGCAGTACGCATACCTTAGAGGAAGAGCCAGCAAGTGTTATTTGCCCTTGCCCGTGCCATTCCCGCTCGCTGTTTTATTGCTAAGCTTTGGCACAACCATCAGCTGGGCACAATCCTTTTGGCACTCCTTTAGTGTTTCGTAGTCGTTGTATTTGTGGTAGCGTGGACACTTTGTGCGGTGCCTAATGCAGTCGAAGAGCACGCGATGGAAGGCAAAGTAGAAGCGCGGTGGACCCGGGCAGACGCTCTGATGCATGTGAAAGTTCTTCTTGACGCAGCCATCAAACAAGCCAACTAAAGGGGGGAATGGAGTAATCAAATAATAATATAAGCTGACAGCTTACAGTGAGTTTTGTTCTCTGTCTGAGCCACGAGCCAGCAGAGGATAACAGCGAGCAGCCACAGCCTCATGCCGAATACAAGTTTGCAACTGTTTTGGCAACCTTTAGTAATTACACAGCCCCATTAGTACCACTTGAAGCATGAAAACGCGCAATAAAACAGTTCGGCAGATCTATTAGTAATATTCCTTTATTTATACCTAAGTTTACTTGTAACATTCCACAACACTTTGGACTTACGACTAGGGAGGCTTCTTTAGTAACATGATAAAACTTGGTTGTTAGTCTGTGATACGAGTAGCATAAGGTATGATAAGGGAAGCTGTTTTGTTGTCGAAGACCATCTTGGGCAGAGTGAGGGTGAGGATTGTGGGGCTGGGGGCTACGCTCTAGCAGATACCCGAGAAGCTGTAGTCATAGTCGGTGTTCTTCTCATTCAAGCGGCCCAGATACTGCGAGTGTTTGATGCCAAAACTGTAGGCGGGCACATGGGAGAGATTGATCTGTGAAGGAAGTTGAAGAAAAAGCAAAGCAGCAAAGGCAAAGGGTAATATTTAATTCATAATTTGGTCAGGCAAGTAATCTAGAGATAGCCCTTATCCGGTCTATTGGCCAGCAGACATTGTATATAACGTTCGGGTATCATGTGCATTGTCTGCTCGCCAGCGAAAGGCGAGTGCATAATGCCAAAGGATAGGGCAGGCGTGGAACGCTTCTCCCAATACTGTGGGCAGGGTTTCAACTTATTTCTAGTTCAATTCTAAGCGCATATTTAGTTGGTTACCTTCTCTGGACAGTGAGCACCTGGACCGGGTTTGGCATCGTCGCCTACAAGCTTGTACTTGCCGCGCATCGTGTACACTGGCGGCTTGGGCTTGATGGCCGTAAACTCGCCGTCGTAGTAGCCGGGTCCGGGCATGACCAGGGCCGGTATTAGTGGCGGCTTCTCGCGCCCGGCCATGGTGTAGGCCGGTGCCGAGCGTATTTTGCCCTCCTTGCTGCTGCCCAAGACGGTGGGTATTTTGTAGACATTAGGAGCTGTCGGGTGGCAAAACAAGAGATTGGAATTAGTAGGATTCATCATGGACTGGCAGATGGTTTGACTCTTTTTTGTTTGGTTTTTTTGTTTAGATTTGGTATGGCTTGGGGTTAGTTGTTGCATGAACTTGAGAGCTGAGCTGCAATAGGAACACACACAGAAAGAGAGAGAGCAGTAAGTAGTTGATTGAGTCTGTCCTTTACCTGATGATCTTCTCCTGCACGCTGCTCGCCTCCACAGCGTACTTCACAGTGCTGATCCGTGAGGATCTGCCGCTGGTCACAATTGCCCCATCCGACTGCACCACCGTGTTGGTGCTGGCACTGGCCGCTTTCATGGCGCTGGCATCTGACCTACCGCTGGCCACAACCTTCACGTTGCCAAGCTCCGCCTGGCCATGGACCAATTGTTTCTCGCTGGTCGTCACTACCTTTGTGCTGCTGTGGTGCTGATTGCCATTGCTGAGTGTGTTGGGTGCAAGTGGTGCTAGTGGCTCGGAGTGTCCATTCACCTTTGTCACCGCTGGCTGTTCCACACCATTGACTATGGTCTTTGTGGTAGTGGTGGTGCTGATTGTCGTGGTGCTGTCAACATTGTTGCGCACTGTGCAGAGATTATTTAATAAAAACAAAAATTCAAACAAAAATCAACACAAAAATTTCACTAGAAAAAGCCAATTAAAAATACAGCTCTGATTGCTTTAATTCTAGTCAAGAGCATTATGTGGTGGCTGTTCCTGGGGCAGTGAAATGCGTCTCAATCTCTGAGCATATGATGCTGGCACTCGGCCAGACACAATTGTCGCGTGGCAAACATATTGGCCACGGGGCTGGAACGGCATTTGGATCTCTTCGAGGCGTACTTTTTGCCCACCGAATCGTAGTAGAAGGTGAGCTGCGGTGCGCCCGTGCAGGACACTGACGTGCCTTGGTTCGCTTCCAGGCAGCGATCGGAGCTCGCAGGAGTGGAGCATGACCATAAGAGGAGCAGACAGATCAGAGTTTGTGGGGTCCACATCGCTGGAGTTTGGAGGTTGAACTAAGGCAAAGTGTGGGAACTCGAAGTGGTTTTTGGGTGCAACTAATTCGTTTGAGCTATGACCAATCTATTTGCCATACGAAATGGAGAAATTCTGCTGGGAATCTTTATCCATTGCCAAACACTTTTCATTTAATGATATCTTCTCGATCTCCTTCTACGCCTTTGAGTCAAGTTACTGAGGACACGTGGCGACTGTTTCTTTTGACTTTTTGCAGCCCCTCGGCGACCCACTTGGAGGTAAGGATTTGCACGTCTAAGTGCTGCTGGATTCTCATTCGCCTTCGCGTCGTCATCTTTCTTTTGCTCCTTGGTCTTATCGTCTTGCTCCTCACCAGTGCCAACATCCTCTAGGCCCGACTTGGGTTTGCCTTTCTTTTTGTCATCCGCTGGCGCTTCGGTTGTGGTGGCATTGCCCGAATCATTCGCTGGCTTCTTTGATGTGGGTATTTTCATGTGAAAGTAGCAATCATCCTGGCACAGCTTCATAGTTGGGTACTCGTTGTGCCTGTGAAACTTGGGGCACCGGGTAAACACCTTTGTGCAGTTGAAGATGATGCGATGGAAGGCATAGAAAATGCGACGTGGTCCGGAACAGGAGCTCTCGTGCTTGTATCTGTTGTGTGTCAAGCAGGCAAGATTGCGACCATCTGCATACGGTATGGAAGTTACAGAAATTGGGGTGCTACTTCCATATAAGCTTACAGTTCCTTCTGTTTTCTGTGTGGGCAAAGAGGTAGAAACAAACTGCACAGAGCAGCAACAGCTTCATGGCGCAAACTCTGCGAAACTAAGATCTAGATGGGGGAGTTCCTACAAAGTTCCCAACTGATTACACCCCTCATTCGATCTGCTTAAAGCGTGACGCATTCCCTGCCCTACATTGGTAATGAAATGTGCCTTAAGCCTTAAACTGAATCTTACCGGGACTGGCCAAGCGGCGTTCGCGTCTTTGCAGAATGCGATCTTCAATGTAGGGGCCTCTATGTTCTAGTTTGTGTTTGTGGTTTGGTTTGGTTTTTTGGTGAATATTTACAGAGATGCAGAGATGTGTGCATGGTGGGTGGGGAGCCAGAACCGAGTGGAATATGTGAAAACAGAAAAGAAATAACACACAAAAAGATAGCAAATGCACAGGAACAGAATCCTCAACCCAAGTCAAGCGAAAGCGGGGAGCACCTACCTGGCAGCGATGGCATGGGCAGCGTCTTCAGGCCAAAGCTATACGAAGGCGAACTGTCGAAGCGGGAATGCTCTGGGTGATAGGAGCCCGGGGCTAGAGAGCGGAATAGACAGCAGGCAACAAGGACATGGAACATGTAGAAAGACTCTTAGAACTATTGGTGCCTCAGTCTAGAGGTTTACCTGGTGCATCGGTGGTTACTTTGATCTCGGATCTCGAGCCAAAGGTGTACGCTGGTGCATGCTGTGTGCTATGCTTCTCCGGCTCATAGGCAGAGGGTGCTGTAAGGGTCAGTGTTCACCATGAATTGGAAGTGTGTTGGCAGCAACGAGAGAGGGTAGAGGGTAGAGGGTTGCCACTTGCCTGGTGTATCGCTGATGCGTTCCCGTGTCAGCTTCATGCCAAAGGTAAAGGCCGGCGTGCTGTCCGGCTGACAGTGCTCCGGGAAGTAGTCGCACGGCGCCGGTGTGTGTGTCACATGCTCGTGGGTCGGACGACCTGCAATTGTGTAGGCGGGTGTATGGTCGAGGCGTACTCTCTCGGGCGCATAGTCGCATGGCGCAGGATGATGATTCACCGCCTTGGGGTCGTATTTGCCGCCAAAGCTGTAAGCGGGTGTGTGGTCAAGTCGCACCTTTTCAGGGCTGTAGTCTCCAGGCGCCGGTGTCTCGGACGTGGCCTGCGGCTCGTGCTTGCCAGCAAATGTGTACGATGGATTGTAATCTTGCCGCAACTTCTCCGGGAAGTATGCCCCAGGAGCGGGCGTCCCGCTGGGCTTGGACAGATCGTGACGACCCGCAAAGGAGAAGGCAGGATTGTGATCTTGTCTAACATTCTCAGGATGGTAGTCTCCAGGAGCAGGCGTGTCATTGGAAATCTTCGGATCATTCCTTCCCCCAAAACTATACGAAGGAGGATTGTCTAGACGACTTTTCTCTGGACAATAATCACCAGGAGCGGGTGTGCCATTGGCAATCTTTTGGATGTGCTTTCCTGCCATCGTAAAGGAGGGATTGTGATCTTGACGAACTTTCTCGGGGCAGTAAGCTCCAGGGGCAGGGGTCTCACTTGGCTTGGAAAGATCGTGACGACCCGCAAAGGTGTAAGAGGGATTGTGATCTTGTCTGACATTCTCGGGATGATAATCTCCAGGGGCTGGAGTATTATTCTCCACCTTAGGATCATTCCTGCCACCAAAACTATAAGAAGGTGCACTGTCCGTAAGACACTTCTCAGGACAGTAATCACCAGGAGCTGGTGTGTCGCTAGAGATCTTTTCCGTGTGTTTCCCTGCCATTGAAAAGGAAGGATTGTGATCTTGTCGCACTTTCTCGGGACAATAAGCTCCAGGGGCTGGTGTGTCACTTGGCTTGGAAAGATCGTGCCGACCCGCAAAGGAGAAGGCAGGATTGTGATCTTGTCTAACATTCTCGGGATGATAGTCTCCAGGAGCTGGAGTACCATTGACAATCTTTTGGATGTGTTTTCCTGCCATTGAGAAAGAGGGGTTGTGATCTTGTCGAACTTTCTCGGGAGAGTAAGCCCCAGGAGCAGGTGTTTCACTTTGTTTATGAAGATCGTGACGACCCGCGAAGGAGAAAGCAGGATTATGATCTTGTCTAACATTCTCGGGATGATAATCTCCGGGAGCTGGAGTATTATTCTCTACCTTAGGATCATTCCTTCCACCGAAACTGTACGAAGGTGCGTTGTCCGTAAGACACTTCTCCGGACAGTAATCACCTGGGGCAGGAGTGCCATTGGACAGTTTTTGAATGTGTTTTCCAGCCATCGTAAAGGATGGGTTGTGATCTTGTCGCACTTTCTCAGGACAGTAAGCTCCAGGGGCTGGTGTCTCATTTGGTTTGGACAGATCGTGACGACCAGCGAAGGAGTAAGCGGGATTGTGATCTTGTCTAACATTCTCAGGATGGTAGTCTCCCGGAGCAGGTGTGTCATTGGAAATCTTCGGATCATTTCTTCCACCAAAACTGTACGAAGGAGTGTTGTCCAGTCGGGTTTTCTCTGGACAATAGTCACCAGGAGCTGGGGTATCGCTTGAGATCTTTTGTGTATGTTTTCCGGCCATCGAAAAGGAGGGATTGTGATCTTGTCGGACTTTCTCGGGAGCGTAAGCTCCAGGGGCGGGTGTATCACTTGGTTTGTGAAGATTATGGCGACCGGCGAAAGAAAATGCGGGATTGTGATCTTGTCTGGTCTTTTCGGGATGGTAGTCTCCAGGTGCTGGAGTATTATTCTCTACCTTAGGATCATTTCTTCCCCCAAAACTATACGAAGGAGCGCTGTCCGTAAGAGACTTCTCAGGACAGTAATCACCAGGAGCAGGAGTGCCATTGGCAATCTTCTGGATGTGTTTTCCTGCCATTGAGAAGGAGGGATTATGATCCTGTCTTACTTTTTCAGGAGCGTAAGCTCCAGGGGCTGGGGTATCACTGGGCTTTGAAAGATCGTGACGACCAGCGAAGGAGTAGGAAGGATTGTGATCTTGTCTTGTCTTTTCTGGATGATAATCTCCAGGGGCTGGAGTATTATTCTCTACCTTAGGATCATTCCTGCCACCAAAACTGTATGAGGGAGTGCTGTCTAGACGGGTTTTCTCCGGACAATAGTCACCAGGAGCGGGTGTACCATTGGCAATCTTTTGGATGTGCTTTCCTGCCATCGTAAATGAGGGATTGTGATCTTGTCGGACTTTCTCGGGAGCATAAGCACCTGGAGCAGGTGTGTCACTTGGTTTATGGAGATCGTGACGACCGGCAAATGAGAACGAAGGATTGTGATCCTGCCTAACCTTTTCCGTTTCGTAGGCCCCTGGGGCTGGTGTGTCGCTCGTCTTGTGTGGGTCGTGGCGACCGGCGAATGAGTAAGCTGGATTATGATCGTGCCGTAATTTTTCGGGACAATAGTCGCCTGGTGCCGGTGTGGAGCTGTCGAGCTTCTGCTCGTGCTTACCCCCGAAGGTGAAGGCCGGGGTGCGATCGCCGCGATATTTCTCCGGTGCATACGAACCGGGCGCTGGCGTCTCGCTCACACACTTGAGCTCATGCCGCCCCGACAGTGTGTACGAGGGCGTGTGATCCAGACGCACCTTCTCCGGCTGATAGGTGCCCGGTGCTGGTGTATCGCTGGCCCTCACCAGATTCACGCGATGACCAAACGTGAAGGCTGGCGTCTTGTTCAGCACGCACTTCTCGGGTTCGTATGCGCCGGGCGCTGAAAGAGCAACAACAAAAGGGGACATCGTGTGAGTTTCGGGTGGAAGTTCGGGTGAGAGTTCGGGTGTGTGCGCAGCAAGGGCCGAGGCTCTACTCACCGGGTGTGGCATCGACTACATCGTGATTGCCTTTGCCAGTGATCGTGTAAGCGGGTGTGCTGTGCAGCTTTGACTTTTCGGGACTGTAGGCACCGGGTGCTGGTTCAACAATAAACAAAACAATTTGTGACATCTACCGAAAGCCAAGAAGCTACAGAAGCCTTACCTGGCGTTTCACTGATCTGAGTGTGCTTTGTCTTCAGGCCAAAGCTGTACGAGGGCATGTGTTCTTGGCCAAAATGTTCAGGCTTATAGCAGCCAGGCGCTACATGTAAAACAGTGCAAAATGTCAAGCTACGGATAGGTGTCTGGGGGGATGGGGAACACAAACCTGGCGTATAGTCGGGCTTCTGTTCGTGGTGCTTGATGCCGAAACTAAACTCTGGCGTCTTGTGGGGATTCACTTTTTCGGGGCAATAGGCGCCAGGAGCTGTGGGTGGGATAGACACAATGTCATACATACAACAATTACGCTAATTAACAACAAAAGAGTGTGTGGAGTGCTAAAAGAGAGAGAGAGAGAGAGAGAGAGAGAGGGCGCTGATACTCTTTGCAAATGGAATCTCTGCTGGATGTTAGGTGGGAGGGTGGTTTGTTGGGGTGCTGGCTGGGACTGGGAGCATTACCTGGTGTAAATTGATCGTGTTGGATTTTAGTTCGTCTACCGAATGTGTAGCGTGGCGCATTCTTTTTTGATTGCGTGACCCCCCTTTCAGGGCAATAACTATTCGGAGCTGTTAGGTGTTAATATAAAACATAAATCAAACATACTCAAATCAACTAGTAGTAGAGGAAAGGTAGAGTAAGTAGAGCTACAACTAAGGGTGAGAGTAACTACGCACTAAGTGTGAGTAGGGGGGGTTTTAGATCGAAAAAGGGGGTTAATAATGAAGGGCAGACCAGCACCACAGCGAGAGACAGTTTGGGGTTGGGTTGGTCGATTAGTTGTGGTTACCTGGATTGTTAACAATGTAAACGTTAACCTTAATGCGAAAGGAATAGCGCGGTGCACGCCGCTTGGTCACATCAAGCGGCACCACTTGATAATGGTTCGGACCTACATACATATATTATGCATATTTGTGGGCGATGGCAATCATAATTCAGTTGAAAGAGAAAAACGTTTCAAATTAAAATCAAATTAAACAAAACACACAAAAACAAACACGAAACAAAAACAAACACACAAAAAGGAAATGCGACACGCGGTACGGCAGAGTGTCGCAGCTACGAGCTATAGTAAAAGAGAGCTAGCTACATGCTGTAAAAGTAACCAGAGAGAGAGAGAGAGTATCGATACAGAAAGAGAGACATAAAGAGAGAGCAGCTAAAACTTTAACTACAGAGTGGGGTGGGGTGGCTACAGAGAGACACAGCTATACAAAGCAAAGGTAGGAAGGGGGAGGCGAGGTACGGTACGGTACTTAGGTAGGCAAGAGAGCAACTTACGCACTGCTTGAATGTAGATGAAAGTTTTGCCTCCTAACGTGAGTCATTAGTATATACAAATAATGCAGTTCGCTCCATGATTGATTGATTGATTGATTGATTGTTTGATGATCTCTCCACATGCAACAACAACCCGCTATAGTACACCATTAATCCATAAACCATTCAATAAAGAGAACGCACCACCAAAAAGCACCAGAACAACGCGAAAGCACGCACCACAGACCGAGACTTACCTGGAATCAGGCTAAATTTGGCATCGGGCGGCTTCTGGCCGAAGGTGTACATGGGCGTGGCATCGATCACTGCCTTGGCCGCTGGCTGCACATTGTATTCACCGGGTCCGGGGTTCGAGAAGCGCGACAGCTCCTTGGGACGACTCTGTAGTGTGGCTGCCCGTGGATAATCCTTGCCCTTGGACCGCAAGCCCGTCACATTGTACTGAGCGGGTCCGGGGCCAAAGGTCTCGTACTTGCTGCCCAACTTATGTCCAAAGGAGTACGAGGGAGCGCCCTTCTTTTTGGAGTCCGGCACTTTGCTGCCTGTAAAGGGAGAACTCTCCATGATCTTGGGAATACTTTCATCTTTTTTCGAGACTCACCAATCAATGTGGGTAGCTGCACAATGGCTGGCCCTGGTGTGGCTGTCTCTGCGGCAATTCTGCCCGTACGCACCGTTGGCGTCCAGGGACGTTGCTCAATGTTGCCGCCCATGTTCAATGTTCGTATGTTACGCAGCGGGGCACAGGGTCCCGGATCGACCTTCTTCTTCTGGCGGAAGTAAGCCTTCTGTATTAAAGGAAAGGGAAAATGCATAATTTAGAGCATATTTAATGATAATTATTGGTGCGGGGGCAGCAACCTCTTTCGTCATGGCGAACAAATTCAAAGAACTTGAAAGTTTTGTGGGAAATTGTTTGTGGAACTAAACTCAAATTTGACTAAAGTGGCGGAGCTAACATTCACATGTGAAATGTATATTTCGACCCCTAAATTTAGGGGTAACCTAATAATCCAAATTCCTACTGCAGCGACCCCCCCGTGGGCCCATCAGCTGATGACACAAAAATCAATCGGCCAAACCCCTTTTTAGGCTACGTTTTGTTTCGAATTTTCTGGGCCAATTCGAGCGAGGTGGAGGAGCTCTTTGGTGGCTAATGACAAGGCGTTTGGGTAAGGGCCTGCCTTTCTGTGGCGTGTGGCGTGTGGCGGCTGTCACTTTGCTGTTGTTGGGCACAACGAAACGAAACGGATTTGTTGGCCTACGGGAAAGACAAACAATAGCAATAACTGTGCGGTAGGCTCGTCGTCGCATTCGCTGCCCTGGGTGACGACCTTCTTTTTCACAGCCCCCCCAAAAAAGTGTTGGCAATCGACACAGACAGCCAGCCAGCCAAAGTCTTGGTGCCTGTTGGTATCAGGAGCTGTTCCATCCATCTGGATAGGTGTAATCCAATGTAATCGATACTTTGTCTGACAGCAGCGAAAATCACCTACAATTTTGCTTTGATTTCTGGTCAACAAGGTTGCGCCCAGTCCTACTCCTCCACTCGTCCTAAGAACTATGCCAAGTGCTAATGTTTGCCATTTTGTGGGGCATGTAAGCCAACAAAACGATTACTTTTAATGACTTATGGCCGACAGTTGCATGACGGACGGCTGCCACTAAACAAAAACTTAGCCAGGCCAAGTCCCAAAAACTCCTCCAAAAGGAAAAGCGTGCGAATGGATGGATGACCGTGAAAAGAGTGTTTTCTTTTGCTACGTAAATAATTACAACTATGTGTGTTAGCGAGGGGGCGTGCCGTAGCTGTTAACAGGGCCAATAAAGCCGACGACTGGAGCTGTCGAGAAATGGGGGGAAACGAAACGAACGTCCTGCACTTGTTACTCTCTTTGCCACTTGGCCCCGACCTCGTGCATGCAACTGCCACAGAAAATATTAATACAAAAAGTCAGTGCTGTGCTTTGGTGTTCTTAAAGCAATCATCAGTCAGACGGACTTATGGCTTATATGGTGGCGACTCTTACATCATAGCGTGGAACCCACACACGAAAACTGTTTATTCAATTGCCTTTGTTTTGGGGCCAAGATCAGTCGAGAGAAGTCGAGAAAAACGGCACTAAATCTCTCATGAATGAATCAGCCAATGGACAAACAGACAGAGAGACAGACCCAACAGAAGTCAGACAGATGTCAGACATTTTCCATTGCCTGCCTACTGATTGTTAGTCTCGAATTTCGTGGCCAAAGCCAGGCCAAAGAGGTCGCATTTAATCAAGTTAATAGAGCGTTGGGTGCATGCAATAAATTTGCATGCCAGCGATCAGATTTCCAGTAATCAAATTATAGATGGTGATGCTCGATAATCAACACAGCCACAGCCAGGGGTCACCCATTAATATGCATAGAAATAAAACCGGCTGGCAAGGAGAAACACTAACGCCCACACACACGGGGGGGGACTCTCTGTCTCTCCCATTGAATCTCAGACTGTGTCACAAAACGAATCTTGCCAGACCAGATATGCACAGTACATGCTAGTACTCATTCGATTTGCTCTCGTATTTTGTTATCTCCCATGTGACCTTCAGTGATTTTGTTTTTTATTTTCATCAGGCGTTTACTTTGTTTATTTGATTTAAATTGATATTCCACACACCAATTGACCCCAGCCGTGGACCCGTAACGACAACAAAAACATCAAACCCAACGATCATATCAAATAGATTTAGCACACGTCAGCCTTAATTTATGATATCAACTTTTAAAATATGAACAGACACGCGAGGTTTGGCTAGAAATGGACTCTCTAATACCGCGTTTTCGACAAAAATATTGATGGAAAGATCTAATATTTTAGAAGTTTCAAGAGAGGAAAAAGAAACCATCTTAGTCGCAAACTTCTTAAGTGTTTGGCGGCTTATTTGATGAAAGTCAATATTATATATTGCAGTTGATAAAGTCTATTAGCCGGGCAACACCTTTTACAGGTTTTTTCCTTATACGAAATGTTGATTAACACTTGGCAGCTCCCCTATTAAAAATCAATGAATCATTTAAACATTTAAAGATACGCCAGAACAGTGTATGAGATATTTGCAACAATTTGTCTTTTATTTATTCAAGCTGAGAATTATGATCAAATTTTTGCCACTTGACAGTGTTAGGTTCATGTGGAAGCTACTTCGAGTGCTTTCATCTCCATTCTGCATACACCCCATCCAAAGCCCACCTTCTCTAGGGTATCTAACATCATCCACAAACACTCTTATATACTACTGTTCGTTTCGGGCATCATTTGGCGCTGCTCTCCAAATGGCGAATTAAACATGTGCTCATTTCCCAAAGTTTAGACATTTTTCGAACGGACGTACCGTCTATTCCAGACCAAAGACTTTAACGCCCAAATACGGCGACTGAGGCTGCTGCTGCTGGCTGGGTGACTGTCGTTTCCTTTAGCCCACATTGAGTTGTCCGAAAATGCCAGTTCGAAATTGGGTTTCCAGACAGCAGCCCAACCCACACAGCACACCATCCGTCCATTCATGACTCCACTCCGCCATTTGAACATAATTCACATTTTGTCTCTATTACGTTTAGAGTTTGTTGTCTGTTTGGTTTTTTTTTCGCCTTAAACATTATAAGTTTAATTAAACGCGAACAAGTTGAGCAATTCACCGTCCAAAAACAGAGACAACAGAAAGCAAGTGAACAGCCGGCAAAAGGCCAAATAGAAGAGAGGAAAACAACCCAATCAAACTCAGAGCCAAAACAGAAAGAAACAGAACCGACTCGACACTCCAAATGGTTGAGTTGATAAAGCGCAAACACGAAATCTGACGTCAGCTGTGATGGTGGAATGAACTAGTTTGTGATCTCCAAATCTAATTAAGTTACTTCAAACGTGTTTTGGTTCTCAAATTGCCACACCACACCACACACAGCAGAACAGATCAGACCACAAGCCAAGCCAAAAGAGTCCAAAGAGAAAGCTGGGAAATCGTTAAGGGGAAAAATTTGGCAAAATCTCAAGCCCGCAAGCCAAGCCCCACTAAACGTTAAATCTGCAAATCTGGTTGCAATAATTATTCTATTTTGTAAAGTTTATGGGACAGCTGTTTCCGCTCCAATGATTTATGTGCAAAGTACGATGTCATATCATATCCTCCAACCACTTGAGATCACCCCGGCTAACAATGGCACATAAATAAGTGTTGTATCATTTTATAAATATTTATTCTGTGGTTACTTTTTCTCATTCTCTGGGCGCTTTTTTATTTAATCTTTTTCTTTGGCAACCTTTCTGTTTACAGTTTTGTTGTTGTTGTTGGTTTGGCGATTCTCATAATCACTGACTTTGAAAAATGAGTTAAGTTGAGTTGGGTCGACACGTCAACCGGTTGTTAGAGCTGATGTCATGGCTCGAAGTGCTCTACAGGGTACGCAGGAGGAGCTTACATCTATGCCAACAAGTGACATCGATATGCAGGGCGGCCACAAACATTGACAAAACAATGGCAGGGAGGAGAGCAGGCACCACACAGCCCAGCTGACTGTTGTCTGTCTGTGTGTCGAACCAGGAAATGCCAATAGTTAGACGACGACCTGGGGCCTGGGCCTGCATTCGCGTCAGTCAATGAACTTTCGGGTCAGCACGCAATGGTTTATGGCTGAGCTTGAGGTTGAGGTCTGGCAAACGCCTACTTTTTGCATTATTCTTACCACAAAATAGAAGAGTAGTCTGTCTGGGTAGCCCTTTTCCAACTTTCTTTTGCACAATAAAAAACTTCACGTTAGCCTGCGGCTAGCAGCTCTTATGCCAGACAGTCCTTGCGAGGATAATTCGTTGATTTGTTAGGATTTTCCAACCATCTGTTCGTTGCGGAAGACAATAACACAGCACACAGCACACAGCACACACACACAAGAAGAGACACTCGAAGAGATGGATAGTGATTGGTTATTTTTGATTTATTATTTCGTTGATTCGTTTGGTTCGTTGATTGAGTTCCAGTGACAGGCTGACGAGAGTGACGGTCGAAATACGGTATATTATAATTACAAATTCGCTTGATGTTTATAGTTAGATTGATAGGTAGATTTATACGCTGGATTGGCTGAACCGCACTCGAGGGCTGTCGAACATAAACTTGAGTCCGCCGCCGTCAGCGTTTGCTTTTCGTTTCAAATTTTTCGCGTTTCTGGCAGACACGAAAGGAAACGTAACGTTTTTGCGTTGGCGTTTAACAGCCCGCTGTAAAGCTGTCGCTCAGACATTAACATTGAGTGGGAAGAAAAGACACTCAAGTCGGAGTTGGGTTTGAGCGGCACTGCGTTTTGTATGACAAAACACTCACCACCAAAGCACAATCAATCACGCAGCGTTTGCTCAAGCCAAAGCCCTACAGAGAGAGCGTTCGTGAGAGCGCACTTAACATTCAACTGTTAATAACATAACAGTCGGCTCAAGTTAACAGTTTACCCTCAAGCGAATTTCGAATCTACTTCTGTTTATACATTTGCTTCATTTATTTTGCACGCTTCTGTTCATCTCACATTTTGCCTTTTGAGAAAGTCATCTTGGGGATCAGTAAGGTCATCGTCGTCGTCTTGCCTCCCACTCACAGTTCAATTGTATCTTAATGCCTCATTGATTTGCGATAATTCGTTTGGGTCTAGCGTTCATCGGATAGGCCTATTTATGGCGGTGGGTTCACAAAACAATGCCGCTCGACTGTGGTTATGTAATGCGAGATCGAGATCTTGCCTCTTTTTGATGTTTCCTTCCCTGCCTCTCAGATATATTTTGTTTCAACCTTCACCCACACACGTGACTAATGGAGCATGAAAAACTGTTTTGCACAGCAACTAGCGAATATTTTGATTTATTTTAAAGTATTTTTTATTGGAAAATATTTTGAACCATATACAAATCAATTTGGAAGAGTTCTCTGCATTCCTGTGTTCTAGGTCCTGTCCTGTCCTAAGTCTTCTATGGAGAGCTCTGTAATACGAAGAAAACATATTTATAAATTCAAATTTAATAAATCTTTCGCTTACCCAAAATATTTCAAAGTGTTCCTCAGAGTATACAGTGATAATGTAGTACAAATATTTTTGGAAAGCTCTAAAAATGTGTTACAAAAAATGGTTTGTAACTTCACAATTTCAAGACTGAACTATTGCATACTTAGAGGCGTTTATGGGAGACTCTTTGGGAATAAATTAAGCATTTCAAAAGAAGAATCCAAAGTTTCCCTTAAAAATGCACGTGTAAAGACCATAAAGCTGAAATTTTTCAGAGAGTCCGCAACGCTCCTCAAAGCTGGCTGTGATATGAATATTGTTATCAACACATCACCACCACTTTAAAGAGTGTCGCAGAATTCTTTATCATAGAAGATCATTAGCCCAATGGATCCTATATTCTACCCCCAAAATAGCTTAAAAGACCAGAGCATCTACCATTGATTTCGGTTGTTTTATTAGCAATATCACGTTGATGATTTGGTGTTTGTTTCTTCGGGAAAGGGTCTTTCTGTATACTGTATACTGTATTCTGGATGTCATATCATATACTACATATATTTATAGTGTTCTATATGCATAGGCGAAAGAAATCAACTAAGCTGCGTATCGTATCGTTATAGTAGTGTAATTTGTAGATTGCATATTTGTTTTAGTCTGGATAGATTGCGAGATAGCTACTCCAAGGATACGGCGGAATGGCAGAAGGAATCATCTGGCTCTACACAACATATATTTGGTTACCATTAACTGTTATCTGTTACCGATTACCAATACATATGCATACATATATATATATGGTCATACGAAGGATGCTTACTGGCTACCACATAGTTTATATATATATTTCTGTATCAAAATCTGGTATCAAAAGTTGTACAAAATGTTTATTTTTTCGCCGTTTATTATTTTGGTGTTTTTTGTTTTAGGCTTACTTGATGTTTTGCAGGTTTTTGATTTGGATTCTGGTAGTACGTTAATATATTTTGTATATAGAGTCTGTGGCATAAGTCTATGTGTCTGTTGCATTTCCATGTTTGGTTCTGTTCTTTTCTGTTCTCTGTATTTCGGATTCTTGGCTCGCAAATATTTTTCTGTTCGTGAAACCGAATTCTGTGCAATGCAGTCGCAAAATTCTCGCAAAAAAATAAATTAAGCAAAAATAAAATGTTAAATGTTCATCATACATTTTTTATTTCGAATTTTTTTGTGTTTTTTTTTTTGTTTTCTCTCTCTCTCTCTGTTGTGTGGTTTTGCTTACACAAAATGATAAAATTAATTAAGTAAAACTCTTCATAAAAGTACAAGTAAAATATGTATAAAGATATAAATCATTTTTGCATACATCATTTGAGCGATTTAATTAAAAAAAATAACCAGAAGAATTCAGTTAAAATATAAAGCATATAAATGTCTCATGTCTCGTACTTTTTTGATTCATACTTTGAGCGTGGTAGAGAAATGATTATCATCAACGTAAATGTAATAAAAATCTGATGCAAAAAATTAAACAATAAATCACAAAACTTAGGCTAAGGCGCGCACACATAAAAATCTAAACTATCAAAAATTGTCCATCCATTATCCTTCTGCGGATTCCATTCAGTTGTTCGTGTGTGTGTGCAAAACATTTCGCTTTCGACTTGAGGCTTACATTTTAGTGTTTTTTTTTTGTTTAATGCTTAATCAGTTTTCTTGTTTCTTTTGTTTTTTTTTTTTCTTCTTTCGAGATACTCATAATTATTTTAATTAGCACATGGATGCGCTCTCTCTCTCTCTCTCTCTATGTGTCTCGCTAGCTATTTTTAAAAAAGCACAATTACACATCATTTATCATTTATGGTATGGTATGGTATGGTATGGTATATATATATATCGTATATATCTGAATCTGTTCCAATCATCATCATCCATTGTTATGTTTTTCGTGTGTGTGGAAATATGTATCAAAAATTGGACTATTAACTACAGTTTACTATACTTTATGTGACTGTTAGTTTTGCTTTTGCTTTTGCTGTTGCGTCTTCTACTATAACTAACAGTTAACATAATGATATCATTCGCTTCAGCTCATCAGCTCCGTCTCTATCCAAATAATCCATAAATGTCAGGGTGATAATAATCATAAACTGGCTTTCGCTTAACTAAAAACTTATGCATGTAAATCTCTATATATAATATAATATTTCTTATGCTTAATGCCTTTCTGTAAGTTAAGTTCAGTGCATGATCTGTTTAGTCGGTTAGCGTCTGGGCCACAAGTGCCAGCTGATCCATGAGCACACGGAATGCGGGACGCTCTTCGGGACCATGTGACCAGCACAACTTCATGACCTGCGCAAAAAAGATATGAAAAATATATTAGAGGTCAGCACTTTAAGGAAGAGCAATAATTCATTACTCACATCATAGATCTCCTTGGCACACGACTTTGGTTTCTCTAGGATAATTCCACGTTGCACACGCTCCACAACCTCAGTGTTCTTTAGACGACCATAAGGCATCTTGCCACAGGTGAATATCTCCCACATTAAAACACCTAAAAATAATACAAATTACCAACAGAATCTTTAGAGGCAAAGACTGTCCACTCACCATATGCCCACACATCACTTTTCGATGAGAATCGAGTGTAGTTAAGTACCTCGGGCGGTGCCCATTTGATGGGAAATTTGGTGCCGCCAGAGCTGGTGTACTGATCATCGAGCACATACCGTGCCAGGCCAAAGTCTGCCACTTTCACAACATTCTCAGAGCCCACCAGGCAGTTACGTGCCGCCAAATCTCGATGAATGTAGTTGTGACGCTCCAGATAGGTCATGCCCTTGCTGACCTGTATGCACATGTCGAGCAGCAGTCCCATGTTGCCAATGAGGGTCTTCTCGTGTCGCCGCAAGTAGTTCAAGAGCGAGCCATGCTTCATGTACTCGGTGACAATGTAGATGGGTCGATGCTTCGAGCACACACCGTATAGCTGCACGAGATTCGGATGCTGCAGCTTGGTCATGACCTTGGCTTCCTCAATGAAATCATCCTCGGACATGGTGCCCTCCTTCATCATCTTGACGGCAGTGTCTATCGAGCCACGCCATTTGCCACGACGCACGACACCAAACTGGCCCGAACCCAGCTCCTCCATCAGCATCAGTTCCATGGGATGGATCTCCCATTTGTCGTGAGACAAGCCCGCTGTTGGTGGCACCGGGCGATCGCAGGGCGAGGACTTCAAGCGGCAGGCCAAACCACCAGAGTTGTGGCGATGATAGTTGATCAAATCCGGTATGGTCTCGCAGCAATGCTTCTCGCTCAGATAATACTCACAGCGGGCATTCTGTTTGATGTGATAATGTTTAACATGCGATTGTGGACTACAAGGAGAAGATAATTATAGATGAATATTTGTGCTTAAAGTATCTGTTATTCCCACTTACACTTTGGTATGCAGCGATAGTGTATAGAGACCCTTGGTCGATGACTTGCGCACCACAAAGCAGCCCTCCTTGTCACCCTGTTTGAGAAGAGATTCGGCACGTTGTCGTGACATGTCGCCCACATACCATCTAGAAAATATAATATAAGAAGAATGATTATAGAGTCTCAAACGTTAAGGGGGCTCGCATCTTTACTCACTCGTAACGTTCGAGGCCCAATAGAGCCTTGGGTTTGACATAGTTGCTGGGTATATAGCCGACATTTCCCAATGTATCCTTGACCTTCCACCAGTGCTCTTGTGAATCATCAATGACTTCATATTCGGCATTCTATAAATGATGGAAGATTAATCTATGTTTGCTTTGAGATGTTTTTTATTTGATTGCTTACCTTTTCTAGAGATAAATCTCCACCTTCGATGGCCTTAAAGGGATACAGGGCCACCACCAATTTGACAAAATGTGAATTGTCCTGAAACAATAAGAGAATACAATTATTTGAGACACTTTTTGGGTTGAAATATCCCTAAGCAAATTCGTAGAAAAATGCAACGAAACTCTGCTATCTTTTGATCTAAATCCTCACCTTGGCTTTGGAATTTGGAGTTCCAGGCGTTGGTATACCCCCAGGCATATTGGCATCCAATAAAGTTCCGTTGCCGTTCAATAAAGTTGGCGATTGCTTGAAAGT